CAACGACTGCACGTCTAAAGACCCCTCTGTCAAGCTCCTGAAGTTTGCAGACGACACCACACTCATCGTCCTCATTCAGGATGGTGACGAGTCTGCTTACAGTCAGGAGGTTAAAGAGCTGGCTGTCTGGTGCAGTCTCAACAACCTGGAGCTCAACACGCTCAAAACTGTGGAGATTATAGTGGACTTCAGGAGGAACCCCCCTGCTCTCCCTCCACTCACCATCATGAACAGCACTGTAACGACAGAGGAGACATTCAGGTTCCTGGGCACCACTATCTCTCAGGACCCGAAGTGAGACAATCACATTGACCGGACTGCTGAGCGAATCGCTGGTACAACCCTCCCTACTCTCCAAGAACTGTACTCATCCAGAGTGAGCAAAAGGGCTAGCAAAATCACTCTGGACCCCTCACATCCAGCACACTCCCTCTTTGAACTGTTGCCATCTGGTCGACGCTACAGAGCACTGAGCACCAGAACGACCAGACACAGGAACAGTTTCTTTCCTCAGGCAATCCATCTCATGAACACTTAACAATAATCGTGGAACACAGAACACTAGTATACATTATTTATTTAACACACATACTTATTTACATTTCAAATTTGCACATATCATACCTGTACATACAAAATTGTCTATATTATATATTGTGTTTTTTCTTTTTTTGTACATTGTCTATTTTGTATATTTGTATATTATTCTTTTTATTAACTATGTCCTGTCTTGTCACTGTCATTCTGATGCACTGTGGAGCTTCTGTCACTAAAACAAATTCCGCGTATGTGTAAACATACCTGGCAATAAAGGTCATTCTGATTCTGATTATATATTTGTACTGAATAACAAGACCAAAATACTGAGTTTTTTATTTATTTGTTTTGTAGTGTATGGTATGGTTATGCAAATATTGGTCTTCATATGCTAATGTCCTCATGGTTCTGACATCATAACTTTGACTATTTCTGATCCTGACCCATTTTTATATCTTAAACAGTCTGGGTAGACAAAAAAACAAAGCAAATCCTTTTATTAAACACTCCCAAACTAATTTCAAACTACATTGTGCTGACAAAAGTAGTAAAAAAATCAGTAACGGAGCCATTTGGAAGCCAGCATCCTTCCAAAATACACTAGAGCCATGTGTAGAGAAAGCGAAATATGGAAGCCATCCCAGAACAGATAAACAACAGATCATTGTGGTCTCCTGCTGCGTCCATTCTGAACATGCACCGGCCATCAAAAACCCACTCTGTCATTACCCAGAAACCCCTTCACTAAGCACACTTCCATCTAGGACATGAAAATCCGCTCCTCTGGCCCGGGTCCAAGCGCACCGCTCTGTTAGTAGCCATCTGAAGGTGGGTCATTGTTACACTTTTCCAGTGGAGAATGAGAGCGTGCTATTCTCAGCATCTCTAGTGCCCCAGGTGAAGTGTGGAAGAAAACAGGAGGTGCGTGCACGAGCGTGAACGAGTGTCTGTGGATGTAAAAGTGTTATGTCGTGTTTGCAGCCGACAGATAAGGTCACAGCACATAAGGGCGTTCAGCACTGATCAAGCACATGGTGCTAAAATGTATGACTATGTAAATGAACAGGACACTTCAGTGCGAAGAAGATAAGAGACTAGTAATGTAAAACTCCAAACATGCACCACACACGAGAATGGCCTTTTCTTTTTGTGTTGTGCTTTTGGCTGCTCACAAAGTGATGTTTATAAACTAATTTCGGGAGGAGCACGCACGGATGATTAACACGGCCAGTTCATCATTAGTGATTACACCATTTATCCAATCAGCGCAAGAGAAAACTCCTATAAATAACCAAGTACGTCCTACCTTCATTATCTCTTGACTTTCAGCATTCGGTTCGCTCCTTTTGCCTTTTTACCACAGACCCAATTTCCCGTCCAACGAAAAGACCTATACTGGGGATTTTTCAGATCCTCCGCCGCAATTTGCCGGCCCCATGATCACTCCTTCTCCGCCAGACATGGCCGCCGAGCACCAGGCTTAATCGCGGCCGCTGCTCTTCTCGACAAGCCACACGCTCTGGCCAATAGATTCGCCTCGCTCGACACTACCATCGTCCCGCACAAGACCCGGCTCTCCTCGAGCACTGGGTCGCAGCAGCAGCAGGCCTTCAACGAGCCTGGGCCGCGCCCCAGATCTCACAGCAGCAAAGCCTCACTCTCTTCCCGCTGCGGCTCAGCCTTTCACCGTGGCTCTTCCGGCCGTACACAGCCGGGCCTCCAGCTCGCTCAGCAGACGCTAGCTCAAGGCTTCCACCGCGAACGGCGCAGGCCGTGTTGCAAATGAATGAATTTTCAGGTTAAGTTTCCATTTTGTAACGACGAAGCAAACGTTTTTTCCAAAGTTTATCATCCACACTGAAATGTCTGAAAGCGTTACTTTCGCCTTACTGTGCATGTATAAAACCTCACTGAGATGATGCAGACGGAACAGACATAATAAATTTCATGCAATTCTTCTGGCAGGATCAATTCATTTACGGAAATATTTCACCATTTACTGACACGCTCACTCAGAATTTATCTAAAAGGCAACTGCCCTCGTGTTTTGCCGCAGGACAGCAATCAAGTGAGTACATTTTCTGTTGTCTTTTTAGGTCTGTAATATGAAGAGCGTGCAAAGTAAATATCTTTAGCAACAGTGTGAAAGTGAATAGCACATAACTGCAAAATTAGCCTTACTAATTTAGTAATAATAAACATGTCTATTGGTACAATGCAGTGTTGCCAGACGTACGATAATTATCGTATTTGTACGATAATTTTTAGTGATGGAAAAATGAAGCTTTGCGAAGCACCGAGGCTTTACCCTCAACTGTATCTAAAAAGGTTCATTACTCGAAGCTTTTCAAGACGGTACACACTAACGACATCTTGTGGTCAAAAGGTGGAAAAAGCTGCCTAGACGACCCAACCATTTTTGGACGGACATGTCAGTCATTGTATTACACAATATGAATACATGAGTCTGTGAATAAATTTGCGGATAACACTTCCATATCAAAGAAGCTCACCAAACCCTCATCAGCCGACCCCTTTAATGCCAGTCCATCCCTGTTCACTCGAACTCCTGACCCACCACAGCTAACCCCCTTTAACATCACCTAATCCATCTATAAAGCGCTTCCATATCAAAGAAGCTCACCGAACCCTCATCAGCCGACCCCTTTAACGCCAGTTCATCCCTGTTCACTCGAACTCCTGACCTACCATAGCTAACCCCCTTTAACATCACATAATCCATCTATAACGGCCCATCCCCACTCCAGCCATCCCAACAGCACCCCGCTCCCGCAGGAGCCTTACCTAATTCCCACACTGCCGCAGCTGTCCCTGCTCCCGCAGGAGCTTTTCCATATTTCCCCACTGCCGCAGCAGTCCCCGCTCCCACAGGAGCCTCATCTGTATTTCCCCACTGTCGCAGCAGTGTCTGCACCCGCAGGAGCCTTTTCTGTATTTCCCTACTGCCGCAGCAGTAGCCGCTCCCGCAGGAGCCTCATCTGTATTTCCCTACTGCCGCAGCAGTGTCTGCTCCCGCAGGAGCCTTTCGGCTTGTTCCTCTACACTTGGTATAAACTGTTGAGATTCACTAGATTCACGTGAC